ACCCAGCATCTCCTTAGACTAAAGACTCATTTGATGGCAAAGGAGGTAAGGCAGTGGGCACAGGACCATGGGATCACTGATTCTACCCCATACCACACCATTCAGAAGTTGCCAACCTGATAGAATAGTGGAAAAGGCTTTCAACAAAGCAGCTGAATCACCAGCTTGAATATGACACCCTGTGGTAAGTAAGGCACTATTTCAAGATGCAGGAGACTTTTTAAGACTAATGCTATTATACATGCTGGATCCGTAAGAGGTAAAAATCATGGCTCCAGAAAATAGCCATGGCTTTGGTCATCAGCATTGCCATCATCATGTCTGACTTGAGAAATTTGTGTTTTCTACCCATACAGTTTTAGACATCCTGATTTTTAGAGGGGCTGCTAACACGAAGAAACACAGTAAGGATTCTGGTAAATGTAAAGCTACAGCTGGGCCCTCTGGTCACATGGTCTCCTTATGCCAATTGACAATTGGACAAGGGAAAATTTATTTTAAGGAGGAACAATTGATTCTGAACATCATGAGGGACTGCTGGTACATACAGAAAACTGGGGGCAATGTGTTTGGCATTTCGATGATCCTCCTGGGGTGACTCTTGGTGCTTTCAGGCTCAGTTTAAATTGCAATTGGTCAAGTAGAGCAAACATGGCATGATTAGGGCATAGTCCGAAGAACTTAGATGCTGCATGAAAGTCACCTAGGACCCCTGATGTGCTACCCAAGGGTGAGGGGAATCAACCATAGGTGGTAGAACAGGGCAATAATGATGATGAAGTATGGCCCTGGGACCAGCTGCAGCCATGGGGGCTATAACTCATCCCACTAACAATCCTCTTGTAGGTTTCCTTTGGAATTATGACACAGAATCCTGAAGAAACAGGCCTGGATGGAGGGCACTGGCTGTGAGAACAAGTGAAAGTGAATAGTGAAAGGGGTGGACTGTAATAGGAGTTGTGCTCCTGTGCTCAGATCCACTCTCCTGGGCTGGAATGCCCCACTGCTTTGTGTGTCCGTGGTTCATAGGTATCAGTTGTTCCCTTCTCTAAAACATTTCCTTCTGCTGATGGGAACAGCCTCGTCAGAAAATTTGCACTGACTTCCAGGATGGGGGGGGGGTGCCCACAGGCAATGGCTGACTGCAAAGGGGGTATGAAAGGCAGGATCTTTTGCATCATGTGGGATTGATGAGTCTGCAGCTCTGTTTATGCTCTGGAGCTCCCTTCAAATCAGGCCAAAGCTGGACTTTCCTGATACAACAGCCTTGCTTAGCTCTTTCCTCTCCCCACCACCACGCTTCACTCCCTCTCTCCCTCACCAGTTTGTCCTGTAGGCACTTGCTCAATAAATCTTGAACACCTGAAACTCTGATCTTCTCCCTCCTTTGGTCCTTGGGCCTGGGGAGAAGGTATTCTATTCATTATCCTGTGAACAAAAGTAAGAATGTTGGTGAAAGGAGCCACCAGAAGGCAGAATTTTTCGAAGTGAAGGACACCGTGGAGGGTAAAATTTACTCAGGACCACCTCCTATTTTTATGTTTTTTTAATCAACGCATAATGCATGCACAGAAAAGCACACTGAAATATACGGCTTGCCGAACTTTTACAAGGACATTGCAGAACAAGAGGAGAAAGGGCAAGGTGTCACATACTCTCCTATAACTAGGCCCAGAAACAACCATCAACTTCCATTTTTGTTTCACAGGCTAGAGCTTGTCACATCGCCCACCTATAAGAGGAAGGGAGAACTGGAAGTGGGTAAGATTAGGAATCTCTATAGTAATAAACACCATTTTGGCAAAGTCAGATTTTTTCCCCACTGAGTTTTCTTGTACATATCAATGTCTCTCCTTTCCCCACTTTCGGTGGCCCACCTCGAACCATCCCAGCCCAATACACAGAAGAGGAAAGATTTTGTCTTCAGTATATTCATTCCAATGATAGATTTTGAAGCACCTGATGGATTTGATTTAGGCCAAATACCACTAAAGGACAGTGAAGTCACCTTGATTACAATTCGAGGTTCAATCTGAAACAAAATGACAGCTAAGAAACATTCTATAAGGCATATCTTCTGCAATTTTTAAAGAAATTTTTGCAAAGAAATTTTACATATGGATAGAGGCTACAAGGACACCTGATTACACCAAGAGAGGTGCACAATTTAGAGAATCACTGATGATACCAGGAACAACTGTAAAAATAATCACAGATCCTTTGATATTAATGCACATTGTCATAATGACGGCCATCACTGGCTGTGGGGCCACATTCCATAATAAACCTTTTTTGGGACTTAGCGTTGCATAGAAGTGCCAGAGATACTGTTTCTATTAATGAATGTGTAGTTCTAAGCTGGGACAATGGCAAAACTATATTATTCTGTGAACAAAATTCTGCTGAATTCACAGATAGGTGACATTGTGTGGGCACTAATGTATATGGGGCTCTCTGTTATAATAAGGCTGCTATTATCTTTAACACAATGATGCTGAATGTGCCCGGCTTATCGGTAGGTGCTGCTAGCCAAGACTTAACTCTTTGTGGTCTGAGTTAAGCAGCTCCTTGCGGCCCTATCAGTGGTTTCCAACCTCAGCAAGTCACAGTCTCGTTTTTACTTTATTTTCTTTTTTGCCTGCTTCCACCCTCCCTTTCTTTCTTTCCTTGTATGTTTTGGTAATGACCTCTTTGGCATCCAGATTCTTCTCTACATGGGAGCGCGTATTCTGCCCATTTGTCTGAGGCCATTGTTGACTGACGGCTCGATTCACGGAGTCTGGGGGAGATGCACCCTTGTACTTTGTCTGCGGCTCCTATCCCATCCCCCACCTACAAGGGCTCCATAGGGCAGTATTGTTTCTCCCAAAATAACGCATTCTCTAATGCCGAGCAGTGACTACTCTGTGCTGTAAAGAGACTTAGACACAAGATGCTGGTCCAACAGAGGGCTGTTCGAGGCAGGAAAAAAGCCCGGTTCTTGTAGGCCTGATCACACGTGGCACCCATGGTCATGCAGACACAGGAATTGGAGGCTTTCCTTCAACGAGGGGAGAAGGCCGACCTGGGCTTATTTTCCTCTTCTCCATTATCTGCCTGCCGGTGATGCACTTTCGGGATTATGCGGGGGAGGGCGGCAGCCTTGGTCCCTTTGACCTTTGCACTGTCATTGTTCCTTCCCTGGGAGAGAACCGGGAAGGAGCGGCCACCACATCTCTGGGCAGCTATTTCTGTCAACTGAAAAGGCCATTTAAGCAAAACACTTAATTACCTTTCCTCCTCCCTGCAACCCCTGGGAAAGTATGAGCCAGTCAGATAATGAGCTTAGAGAGAGCAGCAGCTTGGCGAGGGCTGAGATTTTCATCAGGCAGAGGAGTGACCTCACCCGATCCCATCACGAAACGGGGAACAGAGAGAAGGGCAAGAGGGTGGTATAAACACACTCCTCTGCAGTGTGGCTGCGCTCTTTGACCGGTCGCGCTGCAAATTCTTGGAGCATTAGGGAGCTTCTCATTCCCAGGTAAAGCATCCAGGCCTGGCCTGTGATTAGCCCGTCCTCTGGGATGGAGGCCACTTTCGACAGCGCGGTCTAGTGTAAGGAGCCCTCAGCTGAGCATCCTCCCTGGGCACTGCCCTTGCTAGCTAACTTAACCCCCTGGGCCCCGGGTTTCCGACTGATAAAATGAGGATCTTGGACTTGGAGGGTCTCTAAGTTACCTTTACATTCCATAATGCTAAAAAAAATTGCTGCGGGTGTTGGGGAGCTGGGAGGTGGGTCTCCTGCAAGCGAGTGAGTGGACTGGTTGCAGCTGGGGGAGGCAGGGTGGGGCATCTTGTCGGGATGAGCCAGGACAGTGGAGGCGGCCCTCCTGGGGTTACCAGACCAGTAACAGGGGTTCTGCCTGAAGAGGTGCAGCCTGCCAAGTGAAAGAGATAAGGAGCTGACCCTTTAAGGTAAGAGAAGACGAAGCCCTGCTGGGAGAGCCTGGCCTCTTCAAAGAGCTCACGTCAGCCTTGGGAAGGGTGACAGAGTGCTTGCCTCCGTGACAGAGCTTGCTGGGCATTGTGTTCTGGCCCCTATCCATTTTGACCTCAGTGTGCCTCATGATCTCTGTCCCCTTGTCTGCCCTGCTTGGACCTGGCATCTGCCCTGTACCAACCTAACAAAGGACTGAGGCCATGCAGTTTCCCGCCCACGACTGCAGGCCCCGGTCTAGCCGCTGCCCACTGGGCCCCCTCCCATGATTGGAATGTCACAGCCCACCCCATTTTCCCTGCTGTCCAACCCTCCCACATGCCCCTCTGGGGTCTGGCCTCACCTTTCCTGGTCACAGGCGGCCATCTTGGAGTAATTCTGTGCGGCCTCCTGGTCCCCGCATTCGGACTGTTGGCAAAGGAGACTGAGAGGGCGAGACAAGAGGAGAGATTGAAGGTTACCACACCCGCGTGGGGGCCATAGTGAAGGACTGAGAAAGTCACTCCATTTTATTCACTCCTTAAATTGCTGAGGTGATGGGGTTACAGCACTGAACACACAGACGAAAGCCCCTCCCCCAGCAGAGTCGAGTGCTGGGGAAACAGACAGGGACTAAAATAAGTAAGGGAAAATTAAACGAAATAAATAAGTTAAAAATATATTTAAAAATAGGTGTGTTAGAATATAATCACTACGATGGAGAAAAAGCAAAGCAGTGAAGGAAGACAAGACGTGTGAGTCAGGAAGGGGTTTGCAGTTCTAGATTGGGATGGTCAGTGAAGGTCTCATGGAGAAGGGATTTAATTAAAAATCTGATGGACGCGAGTAAGGAAGCCATGTAGACATCTGGGGGAAGAGGGCTCCAGACAGAGGGAATGGCAAGTGCAAACGCCCTGAGGCATAATCGTGCTTGGTGAATGGAAGGAATGCAAGGAAGTTTGTGTGGCTGGAACTGATGGAGTGGGGTAGGGCAGTCGACTGTCAGGAAGGAAATAGGGGGTGGTGCGGGGAGACTGTGTAGGGCTTTGCAGACTACTCGTAAGAATTTTATTTTGAGTAAGCCGAGGGTCACTTCAGGGTGTTGACCAGAGGAAGTCATTGTCTGATTATGCTCATAGGTTTACTCTGATTGCTGAGCTGAGTGAACACAGAAAGAGGAACAAGTCAAGGACGGTCTCCCAGTTAGGAGGCGGTTGTGATCATACTGGTGAGGCATGTTATGACTTGGCCCAGACTGGAAATGGTGGAGGAGGTGAGTAATAGAGTATATACTCGAAGGTGGAATGCCATGATTTGCTGATCACCTGGACGTGGCATATGAGCAAGAGTGGAGACAAAGATGTTTTTGAGTCGTCTGGTCTGAGCAACTGCATTAATGGCAAGGAGAAGGGGTTGGGGGGCCGATCAGGAGCTCAGTGCTGGAACAGTGTATTTGAGATGCTTGTTGGTCATCCACGTTGGGGGAGGACTCCACGTGGAGTCTGGGGCTCCTGAGAGGAAGCAGTCAGATATAAATTTGGTGTCCACCGTGAATAGATGCCATATAAAGTCACAGGACAGAATGAGATTACCAACGGAGTGTAGGCGGAAGGCAGCAGAGAGAGAGAGAGGTCGGACCTGAGCTTCGGGGCTGCAGCATGAGGAGACCAGGGAGGTGAGGAAGACCAGGGAAAGAGGCTGGGAATAAAAGGCCCGGTGAAAAGGAAAACCAGGAGAATGCGGGACGCTGGACGGTAGGTGCAGTGTTTCAAGGAGGGAATGGTTATCCATGGCAGCTAAGGCAAGGTCTGAAAATGACAACTGGTCATAGCACAGTGAAGGCTACTGTCGAGCCGCATTTTCTGCAGAGTAAATCCTCCAATACGCTTTGATTGCAGCTCCCGGCCCCTACCTTAGCCACGGGGGGCGGGGGGGGGGGGGCGGTTATGGGTTCAGGTCCGGCTAATCACTGTGATTGGTTCAGAGATGAGCACGTGACCTGGACGGGGCCAATGGGACTTCCCTCCAGACATTTTCTCCTGGAGCTGTCAAGATAGATTGGCCCCCCTCTCTTGAGATGCTAAGTGTTGGGATGTAAGTCATGCCCCCTCATAGACATCCTGCTTGTCGTGTGCATTCACTCTTTCTAAGGTGGAGAGAGAGAGAGAGAGAGTCCCCAGCAAGAGCGCTTGAACCAGCTCTGGATGCAGCTCTGCTAAGTCCTGCTACTCCTTTGGACTCTGTTTTATTTCCTAGCCAATATACTATTTCAAGCCAGTTTGAATCAGCCTTCTGTCTCTTGCATCCAAAGGTGCTCTAACTATGTTCCTGAAGCCCGCTACTCAACAGTGGCAGAGAGTATGAAGAAGGACATGTTGCTGACTCACTGGTCATGCAAAGACCACCGAGCTAGGGCTTTGAGCCACTGGTCAGAGACCCTGGCAGTCCTGGCCTCGCAACCCTCTAAATGCAACCTTACTAAGTGACCCCTGGGTTCGGGACTATTCTTAGCTGTCTGAAATTGTATGGAGGCGTTCAGCCCGGGGAAGGACCAAACAGGGTCACCTCCCTGCCTCCTCCTGTAGCAGCCTCTGACGCAGGCCTGAAATCTGGGGCAGGTAGGATTGCAACCAGAGAAGCTGGGGAAGGGCATCAGGTTCCACCCATGACCTAAGAGGTGGCATCCTGTGGGGCCCGCCAGGGCTCAGTACTGGGAGTTCCCTAGGAGATTATGAAAGCCACGGCGGGGCGGGGGCGTGGGGGGAATGCTGTGGGCTTAGAGGGGGACAGGGTCAGCATCTGGGGAATGCAGATGAAGTAATGGGAGACCAGGGCATGGGAAGCTGTTGCTAAAACAAACTGAATAATTCTGCTGGACGAGGTTGATCTGGTCTAGAGCTGTTTTTAAAGGGCCAGCTCCGCACACATTGCAGTGCCTTAAAGACACCTGGAACAGACACCCGTCCTCTTATGCTGGCTTTTGGCTCTGAAGGTCCAGTATGTCACCTGTGGGTGTCTTCCCCGTGTGCTGAAAGGGAAAGCAATTTGTTTTTACACATCTTCTGGCTCTGCGCGCAGATAGGGTAGTCAGACCGTCTCATGGCTTTCTTGTACTTGGGCAGGTGCGTGAGTTTACCTGGGGAGAGCCCCGATCTTCTCTTTTTGCACCCTGACCAACAGAAATTATGCTCCGGTGATAATCCCTGGTTGCCTACGCTTCGCACACCGATCAAGCCTTGCAGTAGCTGGGGACCGGAGGTCTTGGGGTAAATCCTTTCCTCTCAAGCTGTCACCTCATTGCTTCCTTCTCTTTCAGGATTTCTTTTGTTCCTGGAGAAGACACACCTTTCACATCCACCCTTTCATCACCTGACTGTGGTTGAGAGTTCCTTCCAACCACAGACTTCACCCCCGTCATGGAATAGGAAGGATATGGGTTTAATAATCCTCATTAAACATAGTGCCACACAGTGGAAATTTGTAGTATTTGACAGAAACCGAAACGCAACTGACTTGTTGCTTAGATAATTACAGGTAGAGTTTACCAGACTAAACACATTTGTAGGAAGGGTGAATTTAATGTGTTTAAAGGAAAAAACTGTCTTAAAAGCTGTCAAGCACTTTAAAATGTCACATTGCACCCAAACAGTTGATTCCGAGTACACATAAATCTTCTGTATTTACAAAAGCAAGTTTTTGAGGATTTCTGGCAGGCGGTGGTGGTTTTGCCTACTTTTTACTTACTGCAATAAAATGACAGAAAAACCCTATCGTTCACTCTTGTTTTGCTCACTTACTTGGGTTTTCTCCCACAATCAGTCTGAAAACAAATGTTTTCCTTTATGGCTTTATCATTCCATGAAGTATATTCTTGGTGGCACAACTGAATTCTGCTTTCTAAATCATATGCAGAAAATGTTTTCCAAAATCTCTCCACACTTCTGTAGGTGGGACAGACACTGAAGGTGAGGAAAACCCTGGAGGCTCAGAGGTAGATGGGCCTGTCTCCCTGGGAATGTACTTTTCATTCTCGGGGCTCTGGTGTTTTGGGGCTCACATCATGATCTCTGGGAAGGTGAGTGGAACGAGGGCTCTGGTCTATTAGCTAAGGGTGTGCTAGATGCTATCACAACGAAATCCCCACATCTCAGCAGCTTTGCACGTAAAAGTTTCTATCGTGACATGTAACTGTCCAAGGCGGATACTTCTCATCCAGCAGCTCTCCTCCACAATGTGAGTCAAGGGCCTGAGCTTCTTCCATCTCGTGGCTCCCAAGACAGTCCCCAGAGTTGACTCATTCTTGCCCGCTTGGAAGAGAAAAGCACATGGGGGATTGCATGTGGTTCTATGACCTGGGATTGACACACATCAGTTCTGCTCATTTTCCACTGACCAGAGCAGGACTGATGCTGGACCATGGCCACACCCCGCATCGCAAGGGAGGCTGGGAAGTGTAGTTTAGGGGTGTGCCAGTGTTGGATACACATATAATAGTTTCTGCCTTCTGTAGCCATAATCAAGAGGTTTTTTACTCAGCAGTGGTTGTGCTCTCACTCCTAGACTTTTTGGGGATACTCACCGGGGCAGGCCCAGAGAGACTGAACAAAATCTGTTATTAAATTAATTTCCTTTATTTTCTACTCAGTTCTGCTTTTCTATTTTTATTTCATTGGCTTCTAGACTCGAATGAAACATCTTAAAATCTTGGTCTAAAGTAACCTCTCAAAAAACGAAAAAAAGAAAAGAGTCTATAGCGAAAGGAGTTGACTTGATCTTGTTTTCTTGTACATCATTTGAAAACGAGGGGCTCCACACCAAAATATTCTAGTGGCCTGAAGCAGGCAGAATCAAGATGTCTCCCTCCCTGTCTTTCTGGAAGACCTGGATATCATTCATCACTGGGTACCTGACTGTCATAACGTCCTACCGCCGGTGAGTCAGCTCCCACACTCGGGCAGGTGGGGAAACAAAGCTCCAGCCCACCACAGAGTTAGCTGTGAAGTTACTGCAACTTGTTTAACCTTTCTAAGGCTTACTATTCTGTAAATTGTTCTCCGTGGCCCCTTATTCTGTTGAAAACGGAGTTGAGAAGTCCTGTCTCCTGGGGGCATTGTCAGAGTTAGGTTAGATACTGAAGGAGAAATCACCTAGCACAGTGCCTGACTTCGGTGAGACATCAATCACTTCCAGTTTCCTTCCTGCCTTTGTCCACACAGGGAAAGAAAGGTAAGACCCCTGGGCCTTTGTGAGAACGGCGGTGCCTCTGTGAGGGAGGCTCCCTGTCTCCGACCCCACTGACTTTACCGAACTCCAGCCGCAACAATAGTTCTCTCCATTCAGGCAGAAGTCAGAGGGGCTGAGTGGAAGCCAGACAAAGGAGCAATTACCCCCACATGACTGCCTACTAAGAATTCTGGCTGGAGAAAAGACTTTTCTGCAGTCTGTTTTTGCAGATTCTGCTCCGGGAACCCAAGAGGTAAGGCTTTCGGGCAACAGGATAGCCCCGATCTCATTGTCCCAGAATTCAACTAGCTCACCTCTGGCATTTTCTATGCCCTGTCTCTCTTCTCTCACATATTCCCTTGATTCATCAGCGTCTCTTTATTCCTGTTAGCACAGTTTCCATTGATCAAGCTCAGCTAACCCGAGCATACTTCACACAGACACATGGACACACACACACACACACACACACACACACACACTCTTTCTCCCTCCCTCCTTCCAAGAAAAATCTCGCCTCTACATGGAGGATGGTTTGTACACTCTGTGCTTGGGCTCTGCCTGGGTACATGTTGGAAGATGAGAGTCACTTCCCCCAGCTCTCCTGAACTGAGTTTATGAGAACCAGTTATAATCCTTAAATCTTCTCATTCTTATCAGGCTTATTTCTAACTTAGTTCTGGTATCCCACTTTGAGCCAGTCAGAGGAAAAAAAAAACAAAACCCTTTGCATTGGCAATTCTGCTGCACGACTGTGCACCAACAAGGATGATATTCTGGGATAAATCAGCAAAAGCCTTGGCTGTTTCAGTAGTAATCCTAAAGATCAACAGAAGAAATTTCTTGAAGTGGATGGATGAAATTCTTAGAATAATCCCGCCCAAGCCCTCTAGAATTCCTTTATGATGCCTTTATATATTTCAGCCTTTCACATAGGAAGATTCCAGAGTGTCGCCCAAATGAATGTGCCACGCTGTTGGCAAGGAGCATGCCACTGCAAAAGGGATTAGACTGGAACCTACCTTTGGAAGGCGTGTTGGGAGAGAAAGTCCCATTGATGCTACCTAAAATTCTGGGGAAATGTCTTCAGCAATTTTTCAATGTGATGCAGATACGAGAGCTTTTCTCACTCTGTTGGGAAGGTCAGGGAAAGTGAAATGACCCAGTGGGCCAGGTTAGCACTGGCCTAGCTAGAAGCTTGGCCAGTGGACTGAACTGAAGAACCAGCAGGGTTTAAGGGCAAGGTGCCGTCTAGAAGGTGGGGCTGAGGCTGGGGTGCAAAGTCCCAGGTGCTGCGGCTGGTAGTGGGTGGGGATTTTACTAGGATTGTGCGGATGGGGTTGTTCACTGTATGGAATCTGGACCAGAGATGGAAACTTGGCTGGTGTTTGAGAAGCACATGAACCAGAAGCTGGGCCTAGAACTGTAGCTTATTCCCTTAAGTCTTATTTATCAACAGGAATCTTCTTTTCATAGTCTCCCTTCCTCTGGTCCAGCATCTCCCAGAATTTAATGTCAAAGTAACACAAAGAAACTATATGTGGAGGATACTTATTTGGATACAGCAAATTCTGTGTAATTATCCTTAAAAATAAACAGCATATACTTCTTTGCAAAAAGATTTATTTATTTATTTGAGAAAGAGAGGGGGGTGGGGGAAGAGGGGCAGAGAGAGAATCCCAAGCAGACTCCATGCTGAGTATGGAGCCTGATGTGGGGCTTGATTTCACAAGCCTGAGATCACAACTTGAGCCAAAACCAAGAGTCAGACGCTTAACCCACTGGGCCACCCAGGCTCCCCAAGGGCATATACTTTTTAAATTGAGGTAGACTTGACATACAATAAACTGCACATTTAAAAAGTGTACAAATTTATGAAGTGAAGTGTTCTACACTCATGAAAACATCATCACAATCAAGATATAGAATACATCCATTACTCCATAAAGTTTCTTTGTACTTCTTTGTAGTTCTCCCCATCTCTGTCCCTTTCTGCCTTACCTCCTCTTCCCCAGACAAGTATTGATCTTTTTATTACAGTACATTCATTTGCATTTTCTACAATTTTATATAAATGGGATTATACTGCATACACCCTCCCCTCTTTTTTTTTTTTTGATCTGCCTTTCTTCACTCTTATTTTGAGATTCATCCATCCTGTTTGTATATTTCAAGAGCTCATTCCTTTTTATTGCTGAGTTATATTTCATCAGATGGTATTATAATATTTGTTTATCTGTTCCAATTTTTGATGGGCATTTGGTTGTTCTCAGGTTTTGGATATTACAAATAAAGCTGCAATGAGCATTTATGTATAAGTCTGAGTAGGAACATATGCTTTTTTTTTTTTTTTTTGGTTAGGTAAACATCTGGGGACAGAAAGACTGAGTCATACAGTAGGTATACATCTAATTTTTGAAGAACCTGATAAACTGTTTCCATTTGGTGGTACCATTTTGGATTTATACACTAGCAATGTATGAGGGTTCTAGTTCCTCTATGTCTTCACCAACAACTGACAGAGTCTATCTTTGTAACTTCAGGCATTCTAATAGATATGTTGTGGTATCTTGTATGTCCTTAATGACTCCTGATGTTGAGCATGTTTTTATGTGCTCATTTGCCATCTGTTTATATTCTTTAGTGGCTGTTCAAATCTTTTGTTCATTGTTTTTAAGTTGTTTGTTTTCTAATTATTGAGTATTGATAGTTCTTTATATATTCCTATGCAAGACCTTTGTCAAATATATGCCTTGCAAATATCATGTGGCTCATCTTTAATCCTCTTAATGAATATGCATTCCTTCTACAGCCTCTCCGGTTGCTGGGTAATATGACTTGAGTTCTTGCTCATGGAACATGAGTAGAAGTGAAGTGTGCTATTTTTGGAATAAGTCCTTAAAACAGTGTGTGTTCTTCTCCAGGCTCTTTTATGTCCTCAAGCCAATGATCCAGCTTTGATCATGCTGGTGAAGACAGTGCCCTGAGGATTTCAGAATGACCTTGTATAGCAGGTTTACTCACCTTTGAACTGTGGCATGGTAGAGAAATAAACTGCTGTCTTCTTTGAAGCCACTGAATTTTGGGGTCTTTTTGTTACCCCTCAGCAGCTTAACCTTACCCTAACTGATATACAAAGAGAGTTACTCCTTCTTCTTCCTTCCTTCCCACTTTGAGCGCATTCCAACAGAAGTTCAGTTTGGCTGTCCTAAGGATGAATTCATTTTTCTAGACAAGAGAATAAAAATTTCTTGAGCAATCAGTTAAAGCACTGGGCTACGCATCTTACCTAAAAAGAGGAATAAGACTCAATTCTTGCTCTTGAGAAGCAGATGGTCCAATGAAAATCTTTTAAGTTTATGCCCACCCAGTTTGAAGTTATAGAGTTGGTTGTTCCGCAGCTTAGGGACAAAATTTTGCTGAGCTTAGAAGAATCTACAGAAATGCAGAAATTTGGCTTCAAATAGGTATTTTTCTGTTGATATTCCACACACAAAAAATCACATTAAGATGAAACTGAACTTTGGCCCCTCTGCCTGCCAAATAAGTACAAGGTCTCCATGTCCAGGTACCTGCAGCCCCACCCTCAGTGTAAGTCTCCCCAAGTTCAGTGAAATAGGGCAATTGTCATTTATTTGAATTTTTATGGGCCATAGACTCCTGATATAATTCAACTAACTTACTTCTTTCAGGAACCTAACTGAAGTTTACAGATGAGGAAACAGATTCAGGAAGGAAAACTAACCTATCTGTGGCCACAGAGCCAATTAGGGATGGAAGCAAGTTATGTAACCAGTCCTGCTACCAAAGTCTAAGCCCCTTCCTGCAAGCTCCGCTGCTTTCCATGGGAGCAGCTTTGGACTTAGATTACTCAGATTATTGCTTCGGGCTTTTTTCTTTTCACAGAAGAAATAACCTCACAGACTCTGGTTCTGCTCCCACAGTCTCTTCAGCCCCAGGCTTGAGACCAGCTTCTATTACTCAGAAGAATTTGTGCAACTCCATACTTCTTTATCTTCAAGCATCAGCATGTTTGACTTTTGTTTTCAATCCAGTACCTGCCTTGTTTTTATAGAACCAAAATCCAGCTTCGTTCTGAAAATGAAATGACAAATAGTCCCTGGAAAACAACACAGATCCCAGGACCCCACTTTAGAACAATCCAAAGTCAAAGTGTCTGGTTGGATACTTTCATTACCAGCCTGTCACCTTGGTAAAGGTTTTTAGACATATCAAATCAGAGGAAAAGGAAAGAGACTCTTTCTTTTTCTTGTTGTTCCAGATCAGATAATGTTGCCGGATTAGTTCCTCCACTGTGAATTCACACCACATGTACCCACATGCCAGCCCTTTGCTGAAAGGCCATCAGCTATATTGCTTCCTGCATAATCATTCATATTTTGCCTCACGCCTTCCCTTCTCCACCTCTGTTTCCGGCTCCTCCCCCTGAAATAGCAAAATGCTTGCAAAGGAAATGTGTTAACAGGTGAAATTTATACGAGTTTCCTGGCCCACACAGAAATGTGAACCACAGGCATCCCCAAAGGAGAGATTTTCTTACCCAGACACTTACTCTCTTGAATATGCCCTGATTCATTCATATATGAGTTCTCTAGAGAAACCAGTTATCTTTTTTTGGGAATCACAGTATGGAGCTCCTGTTTGGAAAGAGTGGCTTTGATGAATGCCAGTTGGGATTATTTAGTTGCAGTTACAGAAAAACCCAACCCAGACTAGCTTAGTCAAAAAGGGAATTTACTGATTCAGAAGCCAAAAGAGCTAACCTCAGGAACAACTCTAGTCGATGCTCGAGCATATCAGTAGCACCTGCTTGTTTTTTTATCTCTATTTCTTTGTTCTGGCTTTCTTTATGTTGATTTCAGCTTTAAGTTTTATGGGTACCAGAAAGGTCCCTGCTAACTCGATTCATTCTCTTATGTTTTAGGTCAGAGGTTATGAGTGAGAGTCTCCTTCCTGGAAGACTCAGGAAAAATATCATTGCATTTCATTTGGCTCTGACTAGGCTACATGAGATCCATGAACGTCAGTGGACAGGGAAATGAGACATGCAGATGGCACAGGCCTGGGTCACAAGCCCCACCCCTGAGGCTGGGCTTGGCATCAGCTTTAACGGGACTGTGCAAGAATCAGGTGCAGACCAGGAGGACTCAGGCAATGACCACTGCAGTGAGTTTTGCCTCATAAGAGACGATGTGTATGCATCACATCACGTTTTATCTTCACTGCACAAACAGCTGCACACCTTGAAAATAGCAAGCATCTATTCATGTAAAATAAGAATCCACATCCAGGCCAAGCTGACTTAGAAAGGGTTACTTTCTGATTTAACTTCCAGCAAGGAGTCTAGTTTGCCAAAATTTGGTGTAAGTGGGTCAGTATAGAAAAAGTACTCAAAAGTATCTCCGGTTCTATAGCAGGACCATATTACATTCTTTAAAGCTTGAGGATCCTCCAGTGGTTTGGTATTGAAGCCTCTTGCAATAAACCTTTCTGACTGCTTTCCTTGAGTTTTTGTTTTTGTTTCCTATGATGACTACGATATTTTAGTTATAAGGACCTCTGTAGCCTGATCAGGCTGGCTCTGAAGGGAGTGGAAGAGTTTATGGCAGAAAGTTGAAACCTGGGAAGCCCTGGGAAGTATTTTGACTACATAATGACACACATACCAAAAGAAGTTCTTGATGTTGTTCTTTTTTCCAATCACTCAACTTCTTCATGCGTCTTTCTAAATAAACATTTGGGATTAGGATTTTTATCATTCTTGTCAACTCTTGACCTTAAATGTTCAACCTTTAAACCACCGAACAACTGTTACTGCTTATGTACTTCCTCTCATCAAACACTTAATTGTCGATTGTGTGTCAGACACTTTCTGAGCACTTTGCGCACATTATTTCATTTATTCCTCATAACTATTCTAGGACAAGAGACTATTATTATTCCCATTGTATGGAAGATGAAACTGACCTAGAAGAGGTTAAATATCTTGTCCCAGGTCACACGGTTCGAGCCAGAGGTCTTAATGTCATGCTACATAAATAAGACAAAGGTTTTGCCCCTGCGCCCCATGGTATAGCACAGGAAGACAGACCTATAAATGAAGGACTGCATTAAATGTTATATTCACCATGATAATGATCTACACGGGGTAAGCAAGGCTGGGAGAGAGAGAGAGAGAACAGCCATTTCCCTATGAGGGTGGGGATGATTTGAAATGGGTATTGGTACAAGTTCTCCAGAGGAGGCTAGCCTCAGGTATATGAGAAGGTGCTGGTGGGTTAGGGCTGAGAATAGCATCCCAGAGCTTAGAATGTATGCCAAGTAAAGCACTGAGGCATCTAAAATAAATGCATGACGGGAGAATTGCAAACTCTTTGGCTTGGCTGGAACATAGGGTTCAAGAAGAATGTACGGAGGAGGAGCAGGACCCAGTCCATGAGGAGCCTGGTTGTAGTGAGAGGGATTTAATCAGAAAAGCATGGGGAACCACTGAAAGGCTTTAAGAAAAAGGTGACACTTATTCATAACCAGTATGTCTTTCTATTTTTACAATCCCCAAGCTTGAATTATTTTTGGATTTTTTTAAATTGTGTAAAATATACACAACATGAAATTTACCATTTTAACAATTTTAATTGTATATTCAGTGGCAGTAAGTAAATTGCAATGTTTTACAACCATCTGTAATATCCATTTCCAGAAAATTTCCATCAGCCCAGACAGAAATTCTGTACCCATTAGACAATTCTTCCCAATTTCCACTATAACCTATGTCAGTCAGTGGGAGCTGCCTTGAAAAATAAGGAGGAACAAGTATATAGATCTTCAATATACATTGTTGCAAAGAACACTGTGATTTGTGTTCTTTTAAAAGGAAAAATGTCAATGACACTCTACATTTTAGGGATGCGAGAGTCTGTAAGTGGCATGTGAGTGTGTTGTTCCTGCCAAATCTGCAAGATAATGGGGCTCTTCCATTATGACTAAGATGCCCATCTGTAGTTTTCCTTTGAAAGGAATGCCACTGACATTGCTGAGGAACATCCCATGGCATCAGCTTAGCCATCAAACACACATTAAGCACCTGCTGTGTGCATGGTCATGTGTCAGGTGCTATAAACAGGAAAAAGTAGGCAGTGATCTGCAACTTGAAAGGAATCATAATGTAGTTAGGGAGAAGAGCATGAACATGTCCATCTATGACCTAGATAGAATCAGTTCGCCCTCAGGACCTGACCTGTGTTGATTATATCTTCTCACTGCACTGTGCATAGCTCTTCACAGCACTAATCACATTATATATATATTTTTAAAGATTTTATTTATTTATTTATTTGACAGAGAGAACGACAGCGAGAGAGGGAACACAAGCAGGGTGAGTGGGAGAGGGAGAAGCAGGCTCCCCACTGAGCAGGGAGCCCGACGTGTGGCTTGATCCCAGGATCCCGGGATCATGACCTGAGCCGAAGGCAGATGCTTAACCAACTGAGCCACCCAGGCACCCTCCACATTATACTTTTACATCAGTTTGAATGCCTCCTTGTATTAACCATCAGACTGTTCACTCCATAATGGCAGACATCTTGTTTTTTTGCTCATTACTGTCCCTCCAGTGTCTAGCATAGTTCTTGGCACATAGAACGTGCAGCAAGTATATAGTGAATGAATGGTTGCTATAATTAATTTTTTAAAAGATTTTATTTATTTATTTAGAGAGCACAAATGGGGGGGAGGGGCAGAGGGAGAGGGAGAAGCAGACTCCCCACTGAGCAGGGAATCTGACCTGGAGCTTGATCCCAGGACCCTGAGATCATGACCCGAGCCTAAGGCAGAAACTTAACCAACTTTGCCACCCGGGCACCCCTGGTTGCTATCATTATTTATGTGTGCATATATGTGTGTGTATTATAGAAACTATTCATTCTATATATGTACAAGACATATGTTTTGAAAACACAAACAAAAAATCCACAACTATAATCCAAACCATTTTTTAGAGAGCTGCCACTTTGGAATCAGTAGCTTCTTTGAGGCCTTAATCCCATTTAGCTGTGGCTAAGACTTCCGTGTTCGCCCAACTCTGTAAGTTAGGCATATGAGTGTACATGTCTCTCGGCTCTTTGTGGGAGCTGACCAGCAGTGGACACAGTTTCGTCAGGCTTCTAAAGCATTCAGACAGACTCACACTCTCACTCCTCAGCACTAATCAGTTAGAAGACTATTTATAGACCTCAGCACTCCTCTTAACTCCTGCCCCCTCACTCTCAGCAGACAGCCTCACCTCATGACTCATTGAGAAAACTGAGGTCATCCGGGTGCTTTCTGTCACTTCCTACTTTCTACGTACAATTTACCTCTACCCAGTCGGTCCTCTGCTGAGCCTGCCCTGCGGCAGGGAAAGGTAAGAGAGCCTCCCTGGAGAGCGGCCAAGCCCCTCCCAGAGTCTGCCTCCTCCTGCTCTCGATGCTCCCCCTCTATTCCTCACCGCAGCCCCTCCGAGGAGTCTCTGTAAATCCCTCCTTCGTTTCTCCTGATGCCCCCTCTGCCCGTGAATAGGCTCCATCTCATCACCTTCCTGACTGTTACTGCAACAGCCTCCTAACCCGGCTTGCCTTTCCATTTTCCTTCTCGCACAGCGCAGTCGGAAGGATTCTTTTAAAAGGAGGGTCATGGACAATTCGCACTGCCCTGGCTCCAACTCCCCCGCTTGTCACTATTTCCAGAAATCATCTCAGGATGTAGATAATTAAGAGTGATATCTAATCCTCTCTCATTTTTCCATCCCCTCCTTCCTGCCTCCCTCTGAAAGTAAATCCTTTGCATAGGTGGATATTTATGTATAGTGATACATTTCTTGGGGTGCATCTTACAACACGTAAGGCACACGGGGTGTGAGACATCTTGACTCCATCGTGGGGACTGGTCTTCCCTCTGCTCCTCACCACCTTGTCAGGCACCTCCTTTCTTCTCTCCCAGCTTGCTTCTCACTCCCTTCTGCCCCTGCTTTGCTCCCAGCACCCCTTGAAAATTAGGTTCTTGTATCTCCCATATTGCTACTGTCATTTTTTCCCGTCCTTATCTTCTGCTTCCAATAGCGTCGATCCTGTTCGCCTTCAGACTTCCCACCATATTCGTCTCCTCCCTCCTGGCTCTCCAGTGGTTCCTTTCCTCCGCCCCCTGGGTGTCTCTTGTTCTGCCTGCCCTTGAATGCTTTGCCCTCTGGTTCTGGGCACTGCCCACCACTTCCTCTCCCAGCTCTCTAAGCTTTCTGTGGGTGGTTTTATCCCCTCACATACTTTTCGTGCATTCCTTATACGGTGTGATTATACACACATTGTATTGTGTACAGGACTCTTAGCAGTTCAGTGTCATCCTCCAGGCCTTCTAGAGCTTTAGCAGGGCATTGTGGAGGCTTGCTTACTGGGCTGTAGGCGTTATTCCAAGGAGAATCAGATCGTGGTTTTCCACAAGTTATTCCCTCTGTTTTATTGTCGAGACGATGCCTGAGGACAAGAAGCATTTTGATGACATTAGAAGATGAAGCAGCACATTTTCTCAAGTCTTCAAGCATTTCTGGTTCTTTTCCTATCTTTCACCACAATACTTGCTGACCTTAGGACGCGCTCTTTGAGTTGGGGCCTGAAGGGACCCTTCTGAGCCCCCCCAAAAAGTGGGGGGCCTGTTGCTGGGGCCCTCCTGCTTTAATCTGTGCCTGGAAGCATCCCCACCCCCTCTTTCTCACGCAGCATCATCAGCTCTCCCTTCCACCTTCCTCTCCTCAGCCGCCCACGAACCCGATCCCGCTGCTGACCGGGGACCAGATGCTTATTACACAGCCGCTGCAAGCCCAGCTCTTTGCAGTGGAGGCGGCAGGAAAAAGAGAAAGACTTCCACTCAAGGAACATCGATTACAGAGGCTAGCATGCTTGCACGGGGTTTTCTAGAGAAAAGCAGACAACGGCATGTTGTGCCATAAAGGTGAGTATTTTTCCAAAAAAGCGTCTGCATTCATTTTCTCCTGCTGCTCTAAGAAACAATCACAAACACGGTGACTTAAACTCACACAAAGCAATCTTCTTACAGGTCTGGAAACCAGAAGTCTGGAAGCAGTTTTACTGGGCTAACATCAAGGCATCCACAGGGCTGGTTTCCTCTGGAGGCTCCATGGGAGAATCGGCTTCTTTGATTCCTTCCTCACCTTACCCTCAACCCATTTGCTTTCAGGATCACATCCCTTCCTCCCTCCTCTCCTCATTACTCAAATCTTCCTCCTCTCTCTCCTAATGACCCTTGAGATTATATTTTGGGTCCACCAGACAATACAGGATAATCTCCCCATTTCCAGATCCTTAATTTAATCACGTCTGCAAAGTCCTTTGGCACATAAGGTAATATGCACAGATGCTGGGGATTAGAACATGGATCCTTTGGGGGACAGTATTTAGCATACTATAGTTTTACACACTGAATTTCACCTGCCCCTTGACTGCTCACATATCTTTGTGCCACTTTCTTGAGTCTTATTCCGGCCAAAGAATGTTACTTAATAAGGCATTTCCATAGATATGAATATGGGTATATATGAAGTTATTTATTATTTATGCATTTTCCTATGTATTTTATAATTTTCAAGGTATACTGACACATCTTTAAGAATTTAGAGGGTATGATTTCTGTGTTCTCAGTGCTTGTGTTTAACTTCACAGAAAAAAACATCATGCCAATATTATATATAACTTCTTTAAGCCTGTGGAAAGAGAGCCTGTACGAAGACCCGTAAATGTATCGTGGGAGATGTGTCAGTGGTGGACGGGCATTGGGCTGGTTGCTCAGATGCCAGCAAATGGTACCACCTTCTTTCTAGTCTACTAAATTCCAGCGTCCAATGTGCCCCTCACCACCCCCCCCCCATTCTGCTGACTGCACCACCCAATTCACCTCCAACTTCCCCAGTTTGTCTTTTGGCTTTGTCCACTGTCTTCAACACCCAGTTGGAGAAATTTCCATTGAACTTTTATCTTTTGTCCACCTCTGTCCTTCATGACTTTCTTCTTCAGTAATCTTATCTACTCCTTCAACTTCAACTCTCATCCATGGGGATAAATTCCAGACCCATATTAAGAATGTAAAATACTAAAAATAAAGTATTTCTTTAATAGTTTCTCAAGTGCCTTTACTGTTTCTCTTGGTTTAAGATGTTTTAAGGATATGTTTTAATTTGCAGAGGTTATATATTTTCATGATCCATCTGGGTTGAATATTTGGTTGGGTAATGCTCTTTTTATAAACATACATAAAAAACAAACCTTACTTAATATAATCAGGCTGTCTAATTCACTTTAAAAAAAAGGGACAGACCCAGAAAGATGCATTCAAAATTGTGACAGATTAAATTTGTAAAAACTTGATTCAGAGTATTCAAGTTTAGAATGGAGATTTAAGCAGAGCTAATGGGTCCATTTGTTGCTTACCATATATAACACCAAAGGGGTTTTAAATATGGTGCTCATGCAATGAATAAAATCACACTCCCTAGCTCACATCACAACATAAAATAAAATGACACTATGCATTATAAGCATATGTTTGCTAGTAAACAGACTATCTTCTAAATAGAACTGCTTGGCTATTGTCTTTAGGTCAAATACCTCAAATCTCTAGGAAAATCAAGCTTAGTGAAAAGGAATAATAAATCACTTGTGAAATGATAAGGCTTTCCTTCATTGAAGTCAGTATAGTTTTTTGGTATTGGGCTATCATTTGTTGATGATATTGATACATGTAGTTTTTAGCACTTCCTCTGAGTAGCATTCCTTTCATCTGATTTTTATATTTATTATATTTATGATAAAGAATGGGAACAGTTATATATTGTTGGGCTTCATCTCTGAAGTAAGTTTCTAAATACAACTCTTGTAAGTTTTAGTTCGCTTGCTAGTTACATGGTTGTCAATTTCATGCAGCCTCAGATATATGTCCTTTGCTTCTAAATCTGTCCTGGGAGGAAAAAACATTTTACAATCTCCTTAAATATTAGACAAATTTTACATTTGTCTAATATACTGCTATTTTCTTATATTGCTTGTGCTCATCATAATTTCTGTGCTTGTGGAAATTACCATATTCAGTGGTATGAACTGTTAGTAGTTTCAGGTATATAAACCACAGGCTTTCTGATTTCCTTCCACTGGTTTTTTGTAATAACTTCTAAAACCATGGCAATATTTTATTTTGTTTTGGGGGGATGGGCAGAGAGAGAGAGAGAGAGAGAGAATCTTAACCAGGCCTCATGCCCAGCAAGGAACTTGAGGCGGGGCTCGATCTTACAATCCTGAGATCAGGACCTGAGCCAAAATCGAGTCAGATGCTTAACTGACTGAGCCACCCAGGCGCCCCAACAATATTTTCAAAACATTTATCATAAGCTATGTTGAAGAAACTAACAAACAGAAGTGGGCAGTGATCCTTCATGGAATATATTTATTTTTTCACTCATTCCTTCCCCATTCACAGATCTGTTCATCACTCACTTATTGAGTGTTTGCTGCACACAGCTGTATAGTCCCTAAGAAGATAAGCATTATTTGGCAGAGAGTTTGACTTTCATTAGCCAATAGTCTAATATGGGACTTGTTATTAAAAAACCTGTCATTAAAAATAAAATCTACAAATAAATTCTCTCTTCCATTAGACCATGAGACCTGAGACATAGAAGGCTCAGCTACATTTTTTTCTGTAGAAAGAGTGAGATCTTTGGTCTGATTTTGACCTGTGTTTGAACCTGGACTCTTTGCTAACAGCATGATCATTACCGAATTACTTAGCTTGTTTTGTCTCTACTTCTCCATCTTTAAAATAATGGTGTAGGGTAGGGGTGGGAATGGGTGGATAATAATAGTTACCTTGCAGGTTTGTTTGTAAAAATATGCCTAACACTTAGTAGATATTTAACAAATGTTAAATGAATAAATACTGTGGGAGTTCAGAGAAAGAAAAATTCACTCCCAGTTTGGCTCAACAGAGAAGGCTTCTAGAGGGCTATTTGTTCTTACAGAATCTGGGGGATGGGCACGCTTTGGAAATAGAAATAATTCCCTCCCTTTTAAAATGATGGGTATTAAGGAGGGCATGTGTTGTGATGAGCACTGAGTGTTATACGTAACTAATGAATCGTTGACCACTACATCAAAAACTAATGATGTACTATATGCTGGCTCACTGAACATAATAAAAAAACCCTGCTTTTCTAAGGTCGTTCAGTTGGTTAACTGTCTGACTCTTGGTTTTGGCTCAGGTCAAGATCTCAGGGTCGTGAGATAGAGCCCCGCAAAGCGTTCCACACTCAGTGCGGAGTCTGCTTGAGATTCTCTCTCTCCCTCTCCCTTTGCCCCTTGCACATGTGCGCTCTTTCTTTCTCTCTCTCAAATAAATAAATCATTAAAAAAATTAAAAAATAAAATGCATTTCTATTTCTTTTTCCTTTTGTTCAAATGAGAACACACGGTTTCTTTGATCATGCTGTAGTCTTTATTTACACCTCTTCCAAAGGCAGCACATAATCAACGGCCAACTTTGTGGGGAAGGACTCTCAAGACGTCTTAAGGAGTGGAAGGCTCACAGACAGCTCATGGAGAATGGGATGGATTGAAGGATGGGTGCCAGATGGTGGCAGGTGGCTGTTTTCATGTAGCAGGTAGCGGCAAATGAAAGAAGTGTGTGGGGATCACTCTCCCTAGAGGCCATTCATTTCTCTACAGCTGAAAGGGTAATAAGTTGATCCCAAACAAGACCAAAAATTCAAAATAATTATGACAGATCAGTCAAGCACCCCTAAGTTTATCTGGATAAAAATTCATAAGCACCCTCCAGTGTTGACAAAGCTGTGACCTCTGCAGAGGCTTGAAGGAGAGGATCAGAGTTGAGCTAAAAGGGCTGTTCTATCCCATAAACACATGAAAAAGATCCAAATTAAAATGAAATACCCTTTATGCCTCCTAACCTTAAACCGTGATTGCGACTACTCTAAGTATGAGGCAAACAAAGGTATTTCCCAAGTTATAAACACCTAATTTATGATTGCCATAACTTATGAATGATTGGTTGGGTGCTGGTCTCCCTCTGCTCACATCTCCCTTCTTAGAAAACACCCAGGTTCTCTTGCGCCCACAGTGCCACCTGATTATCAGTGGAGTACAGCAGACTCAGTGGCTTGCACTTTGGGGCCTCCTGTCCCTCCCTCTTTTTACAGCTCAATCAATTCAAGTTCAGACCTGTTCTCACATATCTCATTTAACATCCTTCCTTGTTCCCCAACGTCTTCCAGTTCTTGCCCAATTAGATCAGAAAAAAAAAAATTATTATTAGTTTTTCTACTAAGAATTTGATTCTGGGGTGCCTGCGTGGCTCAGTCGGTTAAGCATCTTGACTCCTGGTTTTGGCTCAGGTCATGATCTCAGGGTTGTGAGATGGAGCCCCGAGTAGGGCTCCACCCTCCGTGGGGAGTCTGCTTGAGATTCTCTCCCTCTCCCTCTGCCCCTCCCCCTACTCACACTTGCCCTCTCTCTCTCTCTAATAAATAAATACAATCTTTTTATTTTTTAATTAAAAACATCTTTTTAAAAAAGATTGTATTTATTTATTAGAGAGAGAGCACAAGCAGGGGGAATGGGAGAGGGAGAAGCAGGCTCCCCGCTGAGCAGGGAGCCCCATGTGGGGCTTGATCCAAGGACCCTGAGATCATGACCTGAGCCAAAGACAGATGCTTAACCAACTGGACCACCCAGGCTCCCCTAAATAAAATCTTTTTAAAAAAAGAGTTTGATGCTATGGAATTAAACAAGGAATGCAGAGTCTGGCCCTTACTGAGTTTAAATCTAAAGTAGAAAATCATTTATCTCTAGGCTTATCTCTCCATGAAATGAAATGAAACAAGGTGGGGGTATTATGATTGGAATCAAAGTTATCATAATGAAAAGTAATTTTTACAAATTTCTTTCTTTTTTCAATTACTTATTTTCTCTCTCTCCTTCTCTTCTTTTTTTTTTAAGGTTTTATTTATTTCTTTTATTTATTTCTTTGACAGAGAGAGACACAACGAGAGAGGAAACACAAGCAGGGGGAGTGGGAGAGGGAGAAGAAGGCTTTTGCCGAGCAGGGAGCCCCATGCGGGACTTGATCCCAGTACTCTGGGACCATGACCTGAGCCGAAGGCAGCCACCCAGGCGCCCCTTTCTCTCTCTCTTTTTTAAACCATTTTATGGCATCTGGTCTGTTAATACACTTTTGCCTTATTTATATGACTCTGTTCTATTTTTCAGTTGTATACTAGTATGGAAAATGTGCACATGCTGGGTGGGAAGCTCTTTGTCTCTCATTCGCCTTTTCCTTTTCCCAGTGAAATCAGATATCCACAAGAAAGGGCTAAGATCACAGCACATGGTGGCAAATGCACAGAGTAGCCTGTAATCTCTCTCGCCTTCTGTGCTTCCATTTCCTGCCTAGCGAACATATCAGCAAGTGTTTTTCTGCAGCGTGGGTAGGATCAGAAGTCAGGCAAAGACGATTCGGGTTCCATTTCTATTATGAAATAATTGTCTTATCTGCATGATAATACACACATATAGTCCTGCGAAATTATCTACATCCTAAGCATTCATTCATGCCCCAGAGAGGATGATGAATGTACCAGATGCTTACATGTTGTGGTGAGATCAGAGATGGGTGGAGCGGGGCAGCTTGCCAACTGTCTGGGTGGCTATGTCAGGAGGATGAGTCATTCCAGCAGCTCCTCTGTACCACCCCTGATACTGGTTTTAATACGTCCCACTGGAAGAAGGCCAGAGGCCTTATACCAAAATTTAGGCCCATTTTTCATCTTTTGGCAATAGTGTGTTTCCTCTATTACCCTTATCCCCCAGAAAGCCACCGCCAGGCCATTAGGAGCCCGTTGCAGACGGACCGTGTTTCCTCAAAGGTGTGGTGTGATGCTTTGTTCTGAGGCTTCCATTCCTGGTTTATACTTTATAGTTGCTCCTTGAAATATTTACCAAAACGTGTTATTTAAGCTTGGGCCAGCTCTTAGCCTAGAAACCAGATCATCTCATTTT